GTTAGAATAAACTACAAAGTCGTGTAATCTCCATTCCTCAAATAACATCTTAAAATCAGCTCACCAGTTACTGATGTGCTGCCTTACTTTCAAACACTTTTAAAAGTAAACCTAATTATTATTATTCATGTACGTAGATGAGATGCAGATTCAAGTCCTGGCTCTGCGCTTAACTAGGTAGATGACTCCGGGCAAGTCAGCCTCTCTGACCCTTGTTTCCCTGGGTTGTTAGGAGGATTATGCGAGATGTGTAAAGAATTACGAAACAGGTAGGTAATTAGTGTCCCTTTTTCTTCATAATTCAATGAATAATCAGAGTTACGAATTCCTTGCTCTGAATGCCTTTTTATTTTTCTAAACCTTTTTCTATTTAGAAGGGAGTAGTGTGGAACAAACTATTTGTTTTGAAGTTTGAGAACCCCTCTCCTTTCCCTCTTCTAAAGCTGTTGCTGTTTTTGCATTTAACTGAAGAGCTGTTTGGGGTAGTTGCTATTTTCAACACTTGAATTAAGCAATAGTAGATGTTTTTGAGGTGTGTTCTGACTGGTGTGGTCATGTGATGGTGTGTACAGTAACGTAAAGTGTCCCTGCAAGTTCTGGGAGCAGCGGTTACTTTTGTTAGAGCTGTTGTATTTTTAGGATTCAGGCTTAGTAACAGTCAAACCTGTAACCTTCACCACGTGTGATGAACTCAGTCTAGGAGTTGCAAAATAAGAAAGCTCCAGCTGTTCCCACTGTCTAATCACTCAGTAAGATTAAAGTTCCTTTCTGAATGTCTGCTTAATTTATAATGTTTGTGGTCATCATCTGTCTTTTCTTTGATTATGATTCTTTTAGCATATTTCTCTTTAATTTGTGGGTTTAATACTTGTCATTAAAACTTATGGGGATACACATTCATAGGTACTAAACTCATAATTTACCATTTTTAACACAATGTTAAAATACAGTTTTGCTATTGAATGTGTGCCTTGTGCTTTTCCTTGACGTCGCTGAGCACCGTAAGCATCAACTCTGATCTTTTCTGCTTATAAAGAAAAGTGATGTCAATAAAGATTAGGGTGGACTTTGAAGGAGGCGTCATTTATGAGTTGGATTGACTCGATGGCGGTGGGTTTTTTGGTTTTTCTGTTATTCTAGTTTGAGGAAAATCAAGCCTCAACTGGAGAAAAAGAAAATGCTCTTTGTGATTACTTTACATGAGTCTACTGTAACCAAGATAGAATTTATGGAAAATATGTCACAAAGCTAGCAGTCTCTAATATATGAAGGTGAAGAACATAGGTTAGGAATCACATTGTTATCTACAAAATTCTTGTCGCCATAATGTATTTTATTTGGGCAAGGATGAGCTGAGTTACTTAGGCCATATGCAGCAGAGATACATAATAAGTAATTATGTGTAGAGGTCTGGAGCTTGCAAGAGGGATTTAGGCAGTATGTATTGAGGCGTTCTCAGCAGATGATAATTAAAACCTTTGGAGAGGTTGACAGCACCCAAAGAGAACGTATAGAGTGAGCAAGCAGTGACTTGGAATCTTGAAGAACAGTAATATTTAAGAAGCAGAAAGAAAAGACTAAGGAGTGACCAGAGAAAGGAGAAAAACCAGGGAAGTATGTTGTTATGTGCCGTTAAGTCAGACCCGACTCATAGCGACCCCTCCTTGGGTTTCCCAGGCAGTAGTACCACTATAGAAGTAGATTGTCCAACCTTCCTTCCGAGGAGTGGCTGGTGGTTTTGAACCACCAGCCTTCTGGTTAGCAGTCACATGCCTTAGGCAAACCTTCTGGTTAGCAGTCACATGCCTTAGGCACTATGCTACCAGATCTCCCTGATTTTCATCATGAAAATCAAGGAAAGATAATAGTCCAGAAGGAGGGATGACTGGTAGTCAACGATACAATAAGATAGTAGCTGAGGAAGTGGGGCTCTTAGGATTTAGTGCTGAGGACCTCAGTTGCTGTTAGGTGCCATCAAGTCAGTTTTGACTCATGGCGACCTCCTGTGGCAGAGTAGAACTGCCCATGGAAGCAGATCAACAAGTCTTTCCCCCATGGAGCTGCTGAGTAGGTTTGAACTGCTAACCTTTTGGGAGAGCAGTTTTCATGAGTGATGGCAAAAATTAAGCCAGATCAATGGGTTGAGAAGTGTATGGGAGGTTAGGTTTTTTTTGGTTTGTTTCTTTGAAAGCTTGACTGAATGTGAAAAAAGAAAGGTAGCAAAAGAGGGATATTGTTTACTATTTTGATTTTTTAAATATGTTTTTTATTTGTAGGAACAATTCAATAAAGAAGCGAAGATTATTAAAAAAATACTCTTAATAGGGTCAGGAATTGCAATTAAATCAACAAATTATGCTGATGCGTTCCATGATTTTGGCATAAAATTTTTCTTGATAAAAATTATAACAGTTGATTTTAAACCAGGGAAGATATTAATTCTCTGTAATACTCTTATGCCATCTCATAGATACTATTTTGCTGCTTCCAGTCCTTGGTGTAACTTCCAATTACTTAAAGTATGAACCCTAAGAATAGCATATAAAATTGTTTGCAATTAGCCTCATTCCTATTGGGCCTCATCTCTTCTACCTTATATTTTACCTTGTGAGCCCCTGATACTGGGAAGCTTGAGGTTTGCTGAGCATATTTGGCCAAACCAAAAACCAAACTCCCTGCCGTCGAGTCGGTTCTGACTCATAGCGACCCTTCCTTGGGAGTCTATCTAGGAAGTAGATTGCCTGGTCTTCCTTCTGAGGAGTGACTGGTGGCTGTGAACTGCCAGCCTTTTTTTGGTTAGCAGTCCCCGCCAGCCTTGCCTGTCTGTACTCTCGACTTCTCATCTTTCCATTCTTCTCTCAAGTTGCCTCTAACCCCACCCGCCCTGCTCGTTGTCTCCTCTACCATTTTCCTTCTGTTGTACTGATCACATAATGTGATTTGCCGTCTACTGTCTTGGCCCTCCTGCTGTAGCTCCTTGAGAGGATACCCATGTCTTATTAATCATCTTATTGCCACACCAAAGACAGTGACTGGTTTAATGAATGAATGGAAACCGTGACCCTCAGAAGTGCATGTGCTGATGGCCACAGAGCTTAAGCTAGAACTTATATTTTCTGGATAAATCTCTATTGTGGAGCTCTGGTTGCGTAGTGCCTAAGGCACTTGACTGTTAACCAGAAGGCTGGCAGTTCAAACCCACCAGCAACTCCTTGGAAGGAAGATGGGGCAATCTACTTCCATAGTGACACTGTGTTGGAAACCCAAGGAGGGGTCGCTATGAGCTGGGTCCAACTCGACGGCACATAACAATCGTGTGATTAAGACTAACCCTGTGGATTTGTTACAGAATTTATTAAGGCATACGCACAAGGAGAGATCAGTAGATGAAATCTTAAATGAATTATATACTTAGAGGGGATGAAAAACAAATGTATAAAGAAGTTTTAAGAGTTCTGATGGGGCAGTCTATTTCCGTAAATATTTACCGCCTCAGAAACCCAATGAAGGTTGGTATGAGTTGGAATCAACTCGATGGCAGTGAGTTTGGTTTTTGTTTTTTGGTAGCACTTGACTACTAGCCACAAGGTTGGATGTTTGAAATTACCCAGAGGTTCCTCAGAAGACAAGCCTGGCATTCTGCTTCTGAAAGGTCACAGTTCAGGAGCCCCGTGGAGTAGTTTTACTCTGCACACATGGGGTGGCCAGGAGTTGGAATGAACTTGAGAGCAACTATCAACAACAATAATCAAGTTTTGATGAAGTGTATTCATGAAATTCATATATTTCTCTTCAGGAATATGATGAGGTCTCTGTAATGTAGATTATATCAAAGTCAGTTTAGTTAAAATAAAAAACAAAAGTTAAAGAAGTCTCTGATATCTATTAAAATAAACATTAACTTGTTTTGACATTAATTTATACATTACATGGGATACTAGAATTTAAGCATTATGTTTTAAAGTGTTATGTTTGTGATTTTGGTGAAAGTTTACAGAGCAAATTCACTTTCCATACAGTAGTTCACATACACTTTGTCTCATGAAGTTTACTACATTTTACCACAATGCAATAGCTCCCCTCCCATATCCTCCCCATAGTTACCTCTTCCCTGTGCCCTCCCTTGGTGAACTCCTGCCCCCGAGCTTGTCTCTCTGTGCATACACAGCCCTTCTGTTCTCCTGTGACTGTTCTCTCCAAGGAGTGTATCTACCTAGTGTAAATTTTCAGCTCATATGCCTGTCTTTTGTTTGGCTGGAAGCCACAGGAGTGGGTTCTGTTCCAGACCTGAAGAGCATCTAGGGGCCATAGTCTCAGTGATTCCATCAGTCTCTATTAGACCAGCAAACCTGGTCTCTTTTTTTTTTTCCAAATGATTTTGAGTTTTGTTCCACATGGTTCTCCCACTCTAACCAGGATCTCCTATATAGATCCCCCTCTCAGTGGTTGGCAGTAGTAGCCGGGCACCATCTAGTTCTTCTGGTCTCATAATGGTATAGGCTGAGGATCGTATGGTATACCAGTCGCTTGGACTAATTGTTTCCATGAATCTTTGATTTTCTTCATTCTTCTTTGCTCTGGACGAGGAGAGACCCATTGTTGCATCTAGATGGCTGCTTGCAGGCTTTTAAGATCCCAGTTGCTACTCACCAAAGTAGGATGTGGAACAGTTTTTTGTATAGTATGTTATGCCCCTTGAGCTTGATGTCCCCTGCGACTGTGGTCCTGAGTCTATATGTTTATAAAAATGGGCCGTTAAGACATTTTACTTAAAGTACTGAATTGTTACTTGAATTAAGTGCTTAGCTTCCTTCAAAATGTGTTATGTGTAAAACAAACTTAACACATGTCTTTATGTTTTATATTTTCTATATTTAATCCTAAAATAAGCCAATATACATTGGCAATTTATTATTAAACAGTTTTTACAAACTGACCACTCTTTGCCTAACTTCATATCTTTTTCCATTTCAACAACCAGAGCGGGACTGGCTGCCATCATGGAGGAGGAGCTGCAGCATTCACACTGTGTGAACTGTGTCAGCAGAAGGTGCATGACCCGACCAGAGCCTGGGATTTCCTGTGACTTGATTGGCTGTCCATTGGTTTGTGGAGCGGTTTTCCATTCTTGTAAAGCTGATGAACATCGACTTTTATGTCCATTTGAACGAGTGCCTTGTTTAAATAGTGACTTTGGATGTCCATTTATAATGGCCCGAAATAAAGTTGCTGAACATCTAGAAACATGCCCTGCAAGTGTGGTGTGCTGTACTATGGAGTGGAACCGATGGCCAGTTAGTTATGCAGACCGGAAATCATATGAAAATCTAAGCAGAGATGTTGATGAAGTGGCACAATTAGATATGGCCTTGGCTCTTCAAGACCAAAGGATGCTTTTAGAATCTCTCAAAGTAGCCACCATGATGTCAAAAGCGACTGATAAAGTATCAGGAGCTAGAGAACAAATTTCAGTGAAATCAAGTGTCCCAGAAATACCACATACGAATGGTTTGGTGTCTGTTGATGAAGAATCTTATGGTGCACTTTATCAAGCTACTGTAGAAACAACCAGAAGTTTGGCTGCTGCTTTAGATATCCTGAATACTGCCACAAGAGACATTGGCATGTTAAGTACAAGTCTCTGTGCATCTGAGAATGAAATGAGTGAAGAGCAAAGTACCAGCGAAAGCTTACAGGATAGAAACTTAAAAGACCAGGACCATCTTTATGACGATGAGATAGGAGCAGTAGGTGGAATTGACCACAACAACACAAGTCAGAATGCCCAATCTGAACAGAATGGTTCAAGTGATTTCTTATGTGGCTTAGATACAAGTTCTCATGGCACTTCTCTTTGTAATGGCTTTTCTTTGGAAAACATTTGTACACAAGTACAGAATCAGAATTTATCTAGTGATTCAAAACAAAGTAACTTAACAAATGGAGACTGTGTGGCATCAGATGGCACTTCAAAACCTTCCAATTCACTTTCAGTAGCAGCACAACTTAGGGAAGGAATACCGCCAGGTCCTTTGCCTAACGGCACAATTCAGCATATCCTCATGCCAGGTGATGAAGATGAAGAAGAGTTGTATTGGAGAAAAATAGACTTAGGGGACTTGAGGAATATGGATGTCTTGTCTTTTAGTCATTCTCCTTCATTCAAGTTTCTTACTAATTCATGTTGGTCCAAACCAAAGGAAGATAAAGCAGTGGATACATCAGATTTGGAAGTTGCAGAAGATCCCATGGGCCTGCAAGGAATAGATCTAATCACAGCAGCATTACTGTTTTGTTTAGGAGATTCTCCAGGTGGGAGGGGTATATCTGATAGTCGCATGGTTGACGTTTATCACATTGACTTTGGGACTCAGACTTTTTCACTTCCATCTGCAATATTAGCTACAAATACCATGGTTGGGGAAATAGCTTCAGCTTCAGCTTGTGATCATGCCAACCCACAGCTTTCCAATCCTAGTCCTTTTCAGACACTTGGGCTGGATTTAGTTTTGGAATGTGTCGCTAGGTACCAACCCAAGCAGCGTTCAATGTTTACATTTGTTTGTGGACAGTTATTTAGAAGGAAAGAATTTTCTTCACATTTTAAGAACGTGCATGGTGACATTCATGCTGGACTCAATGGCTGGATGGAGCAGAGATGTCCTTTAGCTTACTATGGCTGCACCTATTCTCAACGTAGATTCTGTCCATCAACACAAGGAGCAAAGATTATACATGACCGCCACTTGAGGTCATTTGGAGTCCAGCCATGCATATCTACAGTATTAGTAGAGCCTGCTAGAAACTGTGTGTTGGGATTACATAGTGACCATTTAAGTAGTCTTCCTTTTGAGCTCCTACAGCATATTGCAGGCTTTCTGGATGGCTTCAGTTTATGTCAACTCTCATGTGTATCCAAGTTAATGAGGGATGTGTGTGGCAGTCTGCTTCAGTCTCGTGGAATGGTCATACTGCAGTGGGGGAAAAGGAAGTATCCGGATGGAAATTCATCATGGCAGATAAAAGAAAAGGTTAGTTTAATCTTAATCTTAACTGTACCAGCCCTTTATTTTACATATAGTTATTGCTGCTTGCCATTGAGTGGACTGTGACTCATGGTGACCTTATGTACAAAACAAACATTGCCTGGTCCTGCGTCATCCTTTAATCTCCAGCATGCTCAAATCAGTAGTTGTGATTGTTGTACCAGTCTGTGTCACTGAGGGTCTTCCACGCCCTTGTTGGCCCTCTACTTCACCAAACATGATGTTGATTGTTTCCTCCTCATGATGGGTCCAAAGCAAGCTAGTGGGACATGTTCTGTTGTGATCCATAAGGTTTTCCCCAACTCATTTTTGGAGGTAGATTAGCAGACCTTTCTTCCTGCTCTGCCTTAGTCTGGAAGCCCTGCTGAAATCTGCTCACCATGCTAGTATTTGAAATAATTCCAGCCTCATAGCAACACGTAAGTCACCATAGTATGACAAACTGATAGTTGAGTGGTGGTAACATGTATTAGGCACTTAATACTGGTACTGATTAATTAATATCTTGTTGAAAATTTGTCCCCTAAAATTTACTGAGTCCATAGAATGGCAGGCTCCTTTTTAATGATAAATAATCAAGAAGTAGGATAGTTAGAATTGTTTGTCATAATCAGATTCATTGCAGACATCCTAGAATTAGATTCTAATCTAATGTAGCATAGTTGAGCAGTTCCATATCCCCTCCATTGTTCTGAGACAACTCTTATTTGGGTCCCTTTTACCACCAGAATCTTGGGTTCCAAAGAAAACATTTTCTTCATGGGACAACAAGGGTGGGAAGAGAGTTATTTCCTGCTTACAGTTGATAGTTTCGCTCTTCTTTTTAGTAACTTCTATCTTAGGACTTGGTTGTTTCAGGTAGAATTTAGGTACAGAGGTAAGAAAAAGCTATAACTACTGCTACAGAGACATGAATAAGTAGTCAATAGAGTATTTGAGGGATGTTGTTGTTAGATACCGTCGAGTCAGCTCCGACTTATAGAGACCCTGTGTAAAACAGAATGAAATACTGCCCAGTTGTGCTCCATCCTCACAGTCCTTTCTATACCTGAGCCCGTCATTGCAGCCACTGTGCCAGTCTGTCTCGTTGAGAGTCTTCCCCTTTTCACTGGCCCTCCACTTTACCAAGCATGATACCCTTCTCCAGGGAATGGTCCCTTCTGACAGCATGACCAAAGTAGGTGAGGTGCAGTCTGGCCCTTCTCTCTTCCAAGGAGCATTCTGGCTGCACTTCCTCCAGGCCAGAATTGTTAGTTCTCCTGGCAGTCCATGGCACTTTCAGTATTCTTCTCCAACACAGAGAACATAAATGGATGGGTGTGGGTATGTACAAGACTGACATGAGATAAGAGTAAGGCAGTGGGATTTGATAGTGTTGATGGAACGCTGTCTGGGTTTAGTAGAGTACACTAAAGGGGTAGGCACTAGGAGCTTCGACTGGAGATTTGGCAGGCCTGGGAACAAATCCTGCGCCACCAGTTTCCTCCTATGGTAGCCTACTTTTGCCCAGTTCCTATTTGAAGCAGTATCCAGTAGAAACTAGAAGACATTGCAAATAGCTTTAATTGAAGTGTTTTTTTGTTTTAGAAAATTTGGGATGTGAAACTGCAGGAATTTTGATAAACTTTGCATTTGGTTGCACAGGGTTAACATTTCCTGGTTATTCTTAACACCCTCAGATTTCCTTTTGCTCATTGCCCTAGTTTTTCAGAATTCTACATCTACTTCTGTGTACTCTTGAGACACTTTAATAATAAGTGAACTCACAAATTATTGTATCTTTTTTCCCCCCACTGGGACTTCTGGTGGGAAGAAGTTTTATACCTGTTTTTTTATATTGTGTTTTCTGGATAACTTGCTGTCTGTTTGGCCTGTTTCATCTGTAAGATGGGACACTGAGCATGGCTTTTTCTTGTCCTTGCCCCTGGTATTGACATATGAGATGAAATCCTTTGATTCCTGTGAAGGATTTCATCTACGCTGGAGTTTGAATTGCCATCATTTACATGGATTACTCACATATCCATATCCTAGCCATTTATTTTCTCCTGTGAACTCCCCCCAGTATTACAAGTGTCTGTTGGACACCTCCACCTGGTTATTTCATAGCGTCCTTAAACTCAACATGTCTGACCTACAACAACTACGTGAGTTTCTACTTCCAAGTGGGTCCCCCTTTTCCAATGTAGGCTCTATCTAAGAACTAGTGTGATAGGTACTTGTTAAATGCAATACTTACACACTCCTCAGGAACTCTAGTGGCAAAATGCCTAAGGCATTTGACTGCTAACCAGAAGGCTGGCAGTTCAAACCCACCAGCCAGTCCTCAAAAGGAAGATTGGGCAATCTACTGCCTCGAAAACCCAAGGAGAGGTCGCTGTGAGTTGGTTCCGACTCCATAGCAGTGAGTTTGGTTTTTATGCTGTCACTGGAGTGCTTAAAAACTTCTTTAATGCTTGTCCATCATGCCTGAGATACAGGCAGACTCCTTGATGAAACACTTCAGGTTTTTCCCAAAAAGTAAGTTTTTCCCTTACTTACCTCTTCACTTTCTCTTGTCAGTTACACTTCAGCCACTTTGAGTTGCTTAGTTTCCTGTTTTCTTTCCTGCCTCTCAGTCTTTGACTGTGTTGTCCTTAATCCTACATTTGAGCACTTGAAGTTTGTTAGACATTGTATTAAGCACTTTACTTTCCTTAATTTATTTAACTCACTGTCATCGGTTTAGGAATTCAGCAGGTTCGGAGAGATTGAGTAACTCAGTCAACTAACTGATGAATGCAGATACAGGCAGCCTGGTCCTGGAGTTTCTGACCTTCAGCTCCTTGCTAAGTCCTGCTAACTCTTTAGGTCTTGCTTCCTCACAAAAGCCCTCTAGAAGCCCCACCTGAAACCCCCGGGGAGGTGGACTGCTCTCTACCTTGTGGGACCCCATTATATACTGCTGCTAAAGCCCTGGTAGGAGCTCTGGTAGCATAGTGCCTAAGGCACTTGACTGCTAACCAGAAGACTGGCGGTTCAAACCCACTAGCCACTCCTCGGAAGGAAGATAGGCCAATCTACTTCTGTAGTGATACCACCTTGGAAACCCAAGGAGGAATTGCTATGAGTCAGGTCCGACTCGACGGCACATAACAACAACAACAACAACAAACACCTTGTCACACCAATTTGAAATTCATTGTCAGTTTTCTTCATTAGATTCTTAAGTTCCTTAAAAATGAGAGTCTCTGGTTAACCAGAATATTGTACTGCCCAACACCAGACCAGTGCTATCTAGTTGATTCTGACTCACAGTGACCCTATAGGACAGAGTAGAAGTTCCCTATAGGGTTTCCAAAGCTGTAAATCTTTATGGAAGCAGACTGCCACATCTTTCTCCCACAGAGCAGCTGGTGGGTTCAAACCCACTGACTTTTTGGCTAGCAGCTCAGCACTTAGCCATTGTGCCACCAGGACACAGCACCAGCCACATAGCAGGCACTAAGTAGTACATGGCTTGATTCTTGAATGAAGGAATGATTGATTATTAAGAAGCCTTATCATGAGGAGGTGGGAGCCATCCACTTTTTTGCGTCCTTTTCCCCAGACTTAATTGTGTGGAAGTATGGAGGGTGCTTGCCAGCCTTGAACCTCTCAGTTCATTTCTGCTGAAGCTCGATGTAAACTCCTACTGACCCCTGTAGTTTTATGCATTTGGAGGACTGTAAGAGAGGCTAGTGACATCTCTAATATCTATTAGTAGCATTTTATAGGGTTTTGCTGACTCTAGGGAAATTATTCCATACATGGTAATTGAACATAGCCCTGAGGAGTATGAGGAGTCCTCATTGGGCTGAACAGTGACTTCTGTTACCAGCTGAAAAATGATTTTGTTCTCACAGAATTTAAAGGCATCTAGCCACCCCTGGAAGTTACCATCACCCTCTCCTGAGAAGTTGTAATGAGTGCTGGGGGCTTCCCTCAAAGCCGCTACAGTTTACCATGTAGTCGGTGTTCTCTCACTAGCCCTTTGGCTATTGACGAGCCCAGTTGTGATGCTTAGGCCTGTGCTTGTTACTTAGGGCTGCCCTGTTCCATTCATGCTTGGTACCTGTGTTCAGGAAGCTTTGTCTTTTGGATTATATAAACAAGAGGGGGCCACAAAGGTCAGCTGATCTAATTGTCAACTTGATAAGGACAAAGACCGAATCGGATTTTGTTTGCCCTTTCATCCCTAGCAGCTGATAGAGAGCTTGGACCATAGTAGGCATTCTGTAAATATTTCTTGAAAGAATGCATACATGTATGGGCCAATACACTCAACATTTCCCTGTATTGTTTATTCTGAAATACGCCCCACTGTCTATCTTACACAGCTGTATTTGGTATCATTTAATAAATGATAATTACATCTTTTTTTTTAAAAAAAAAAAAAAGTCAGCTGGATTTTAATAAGATGACAGTGCTTCAGAGCCAGGAGCTGCTAAGTGGGCAAAAGAGAAAATAGCTCATAGTTTTACCACCAAACACATGAATGGGGATGACAGGTGAGTATTTTGCTTAGAAACACATTTTACAATAATAAGGACTAAGATAGGATTCATTTAACAAAAGCTCTTTCTATATAAATTTTCAGAAACGTTTTGAACTGAAGCACCTACATTCTTGATCTTTACTAAGTCCCTTTAGTACTGGTAAATAGTCTATGGAAGATAAACTACCTTAGCACAATATTCTAGGGTATTCTTCAGTATATTTTATGTAATGTAATAGGAATGGTAGAAATACCTGGAGAGAAAAATAACACTTGTATTGCCAATATCTCCAGACAGTGGACAATTCTATGTAGCCAATTGGATATCCTGAAAGAAGAGTGTATAGTATATATTAGCTTATAGGAAGTGACTGAGTTCTTGAGGTTGTGGGTTTTAAATTGTTTTAATTAAGTTTTTTTTTTTTCTTTTTTTAAATTTTGTGACTTGGGTGAAGGTTTACAGAGCAATACAAATTTTTATTAGTAAAAGTGAGATTGGCATGATTTTTAACGTGAGTTTTGGCCTTCTTTTGGTTATATTTATTGATGTCATATGCCATAGTAGTGGTTATCCATTGTAGATAGTTGATAAAGAGATTTGTATCCAAACATTTACTGCTTTTCAGTTGTTTAGCTAACTACTTGAAACTGTTTCTCGGACAGTCCAAATGTGTGCAGCTACTGCAAGAAGTGCACTTGATTGTAAATTTATTTGTTTAAATCTGAAGTAGACTTTTCTTCTAGGTATGGCGATTCAGTACTGCGTTTTGTTCTGTTAATGAATGGAAATTTGCTGACATCCTGAGCATGGCTGACCACTTGAAGAGATGCAGTTACAATATTGTAGAGAAGCGGGAGGAAGCAATCCCACTGCCGTGTATGTGTGTGACACGGGAACTCACTAAGGAAGGACGTTCACTGCGCTCGGTTTTGAAACCTGTAGTTTAAAGACTTTAAAAACTATAACTCCACTTGCACAGACATGCAAACATGTAGTGTAATTTCTTTGTAATATGTGACACTTTATTAATGTATTAAAGACTACAACTAGCTAAATTTATTGTCACTATGTATATAATGTTTTGAAGTGACATATATTTTTGTAAAATAAGTACTGTTTAGTTGGGAAAAAAGTTGCCTTAATGTTTGAAATGTGTGAAATTTTTGGAACTTGCTGGACAGGGTGATTTAATTTTTAGGTATATAATTTTTGAAATTAATATTTTAAATGGTGTGCATATTCTGATTCTTAAGTTCTTGGCTTCTTATACTGACAAGATCCTGACCAAACAATTTATTCCTCATGTTTTCTGTGGGTTGTAACCCATGCATTCAAAAAGCAAAACATAGATTATTAAGGGGGGAAAAAAAAAAAAACATTCAAATGCTTTGAGCACTCCCATAAGATCACTATAAGGTTTTTATCTCTAGTGCTCCTCTTAGACGATTGTTGGTACATAGATAATCTCTAATATGTATTTAAATAATATTTGAAGTCATGACTGTTTGGTAATGCCATTGATCATGTTTTAAAAATAATCCACAAGATGTAGTCGTCTTAGGTATTACTAACGCTCATACCGAGAGTGTCCATATGCAGCTTTCTTTTTCGTTAGATGCCACATCCAAAGACTCCGGGCAACGTGTTATGTGTCAGGTTAATGCAAAAACAAACAAAAACCTGTGAATTTAATTTGAAACTGTTTATGGTATTCTGTATTTGCTAGTATTTGGTGTTTGGAGAAAAGTGAATAATATACCTCATTTTAAGTTTGAATTGGGCATATTATGTGAATATATATCAAATACTCGGAATGAGAAGGGCTTAACAGTTTTTTTCCATAAGCTTTTTAAAAATTTGTCTTTGATATTTATTTAAAAACTACAACTGTTGTGTTAAGACATTTAAAATGTGAAATTTGGTATCGTCTTTGTAAGATGACAATCATGAAATGCAGAAACCTATCTTGATTGGCAGTCTTAAAACATTTCCAAGTTAATTCCCACACACTTCTCTAACAAAAACTGAGAATTGCATCTTTGTATAAAGATCTAGGTATAATAGGAAAATATTCAAAGGTCAACTCTTGAAGTATTTTACTATAACTTTCAAATTGATTTATACTCTTAACGTGATGTGGTCAGACAAAAAAAAAATGAGCACATCCATATTTAGAATTAAATTGTGAAGAGGGGGACATATACTTGTATAACTTATTTTAAGTAACTTAATGGCATTTGGTAGTCTACAATGGTGGCAAGTTACCTTGTTAGAAGTATGAAAACTATTGTATCTTCTCTTCCTATATTTGTCCCTGAGGGTGCTATGTTGTTACTGGGTTCTTGATTCCCATATATGGCAATCAAACTAGGCAGAGCCTTCCTTGGGCATTAGAGAAGAATTTTCAACTACTTAAGACTTGTTTTGGTTGGATCAAGTTCTTAGCACAGTTGAAAAACAGCATTAAAGACTAATCAGTTGTTGTGCCTCACCTTTTTAATTAGTAGAGTTACTACACTTACTTCTAAGTGCTTAAACTTTGTTTTTCAACTGTAAGATTAAATTGCATAAAGTTTCTCTTTTAGTGAAAAAGCCAGGAGTAAGATATCAAATACTGTAAAATATAAGTCTGCCTTTTAAAAGTTTTGCTGAAGAGTGTGTCTTTGGTTACGATAGCACAAGCATTAACTTTTTTTTTTTTTTAAATGGTTGTGCATTTTTAAATCCATGATTTTTACATTTAGATGTCTTGTTTCCACACTGGATCGTGAGATATTTAACATTTTTTCCACCTTAAATTTCTTTTACACATCTTTGGCTGTTCTCTCTTTTGTTTGTTATGCCACCATATTATTTTGTTAAGATGTTTTCTTTGTGCTACATTTTTTCAAAATCTAATAAAATTAATGTTTTCCCATTTTATGGCTCAGTAACTTAAAAACCAGAACTTTCATTTAAATAAATCTCAGTACTTTGATGAATTCTAGACACAGTCATGTTGTTTCTTTGTGTGGCTTTTCTGCCTGCTGTTCAACTTTCTTGTTGATTGACTGCCATTGCTTGCCCAGGTTTCACTGGTTGAGCATTAAAAACTTTTTTTTTTTTAATTTGGGAAGCTCATTAGTTAGACTTCTTTGCCCCCTCAGGGTCCTCTTGAAAGTAGTCCCTCCCGGGGGCATTGAAAGGCTGAAGAGCTGGTGGCATGATGATTTTTCTAAGACTTATAATGGGAATAATCTATCCAGCCTTTAAGCTTGAGGAGTTTTGTGTGGTGGTTGAGTAGGTTGTCATTTGAGAAGTCTTTGTCCTGAGTCTCTGCTAACCATCTAGATAAAGGGCAGGCATCAGGATGGAAGGCACCAATCCGAATTCACTTTTATCCTCTGCATCTTTCCTCGGGAAAGCTTAACGTCTGTGGATTTCTCTGTAACTGGCTTGTGAGACTCATACAGCACTTACAGTACTGGTTTTGAAAGTGTGGTCCCTGGTCCAGGAGACTCAAGCATCGGTGAGCATTAGAAGTATAAATTCTTGGCCCCTCCCCAGACTTACTGAATCAGAAACTCTGGGGTGGGAACCAGCCTTCTTTCACAAGGCCTCCAGGTGATTGATTCTGGTGCCTGATAGAGTGTGAGAACTTAGAGGAAAGCCTGAGAGACAGCAGCTCCTGCTTTGCGTGTGTACACGTGTGGGTATATACCCATGTGCAATTCAAACTGAGTATAACGCGGATGTGTTAATATTAATTAATGGTTAAAATAAGGTGATATAGCTAGTTGTTGCAATCTTTTAGCCGTATGGCAAAATAAGTTGTGTATTATGATTGTTGGACATTTTTGTTTTAACTAGTATGTACTAGTATTTAAAATTGACTGTTACCAGTATTTCACTGATGTTTCTTCTGTTCAAGTTTAATTACAATGCAAGTTTTAGTTCATTAGCACTAACATTTAGCCTAGTCATCATTCATCGTGTTCAGTGGTTGTGGAGTCATGTGAACAAATGAGATTTCTAGGATAAGCAGAGAGTAGAAGTAGAAGAATGTGGGGTGAAATACTATAGGAATATTCGTAGGAATCCGTTCAGTCTGTCAATAGGGGTATTAATTGGCAGTAGTATAGGATTTATTTTTTTTGTCTTTGACTCTAGCCTGTGTATCCCATCAGTGTTGCTATTTTTAACTATCCTTTGCCATTGGATATTATACTCTTAATCCAATAATGGCGTTTTCTACTAAACTTCCATATCCGGTAAAGGTATGGTGGTTTATATTACGTTGATAAATTTTACCTGTGGATTTGATTGTAGTTTTAGGAATTTGAAAGCAAAGCAAGTTTCTTTTAAGTTTTGCATCCTAACCTAAAAGACCTATTGTTGTTGTTATGTGCTGTCAAGTTGGACCCGACTGATAGTGACCCCTTTTTGGGTTTCTGAGGCAGTATCACTACAGAAGTTTTTTTTTTTAATTTCTTAAGGAATAGTTATGCAAACATTAAGAAATATATTTGGCTCATGCACGGCCCGCCACATGGGCACTGATGCGATTGGAAGCTACTGAAGGATGTGTTTTAATATGCAGTAGAAAGAAAGCAGTTGGCCTTCATTCTATGAAAAGATTGGAAAGCCTTTCGACAGAGAATTTCTGTCATGTTTGCCTGGTGCTCTACATGTTGTACTAAAACTCCTTTACTTGCTTAACATACTCATGAAGCCTAGAAAAAGGGAATATAAGTAAAGCCTTGAAAAAACAAAAGAAACTCAACAGTTGCTTGTTTCATTGTGTTTAAAATAATACTATGATTTTTTTTTTTTTTTTAGGATTTGATCTAAATCTGCTTAAAAAGCCAAACAAACTCCCAATCCAGTTTGAGCATTATCAATATAAAGGCCTACTGGTAAAGTACTTTCAAGATAAAATAAGGGAAGACAGAGGATGATTTCTTTAAAAGTCACCTTGTATGCAATTACTTTTAAAAAGATCAAAGTAAGAGCAAAAGATAAGACCTTTCTAATTTCCATTTTATAGATGAGGAAACTGAAGTAGTCCAACTCGAGTGTTCTGGGATATTTGAGAGAGAAATCTATTCTTCAGTGGTTCACTTTTCTGCTGTATAGATGTGGAGAGGGAAGGAAAAATCCTTAGATGGAAGGAAATTATTCTGGAAAATATTGCTTGTAATATTCTTAATTAGTGTTTTGGAAAGAATTATTGGGTAATATCAAAAGGAAAAAAATAAAAACTAACCAAAATTTTGCAGAATTTTTATAAGCATTTTATGGATACTTGATTAATAACAGTCTTTAAACTCATATATTCATTTGACATTTATGAATTGTCCAGGTTGATTTAAATAACATCTTGCAATGTATCAGTAGAGGTACAGAAATACATCTTGAGTTGCTTCATTACCTTAGAACATTTCAAAACTGACATTTTTGTGTTCAGATTTTTTAATATCTGGATGTATTTGTGGAGAGTAATTTTTCATTTTAAACAAACTACAAAGTGGGTGACAAGGAAGATCGATGAACATGCATTAATGTAAAACCCCATTGATGAAGTCTCTTAAAACTTTTATCTTTTGACATGTTGGATTGAAGCTTCCATTTGCTATGAAGAAAAGCATTTCTGAAGCAAACTAACGTAAATCAGGGAAATACGTCGTTTTTATTAACATCAATAGAATTTTAAGCATCCCCAAATCAATTTATTAACCCATTTGTATGCAAATACTGAGACAGTAGGAAACGATTCTTCGATACATAACTAATCCTAGAGGTGGTGATAGTTCATATACTTGAAAGTAATAAAACTGCATTTCTGTTGACCTCTCAGGACTGGTGCATCGTGTCCAGTGGTCCATTCCCAGTGAAAGCCATTTTATCAGACTTAATCTGAACTCAAACTAATAGAAGATGTTAGTTTTTTTTCCTCCTCAGTCAAGAT